GAAGGAAGGAAGGAAGGAAGGAAGGAAGGAAGGAAGGAAGGAAGGAAGGAAGGAAGGAAGGAAGTTCTTAATCTCCCTGACTTCATATAAACCCTGTGAGATGTACCTGAGGAGCTGCTGCCTGATCCTGAAGGCAGCTTTATGGGAGGGGGTCGATGCTTCAACCCTTTTCCCAATACAGACGTCTGTACCAGATGAGAAATACCGTCACCCTGTAGATGACATCATGGTAAATCATAGAGTCCAACAAAGACCAGATAATAAAGTAGCTGATACAGATCCTCAAATAAAAGTACTTACCTCATCGTTGCTGGGCGAGGGAGGCCCCTGTCCCATGTTACCTGAGTTATGGGACATCCTGACCTCACACTTTACATCTCTCTCGTAAACTCCTTTGTACTGAGTAAGAAACCTGTAAAACAGTAAATTTCTCTAGAAGTCCACCAGCAGAACTGTAAGGACAGGATAAAGGCAAAACAAAAAGCCTAAGACGAGGCTTACCTTTCTGCATCAATCTTTGATCCTATGAGGAAACTATAAACACATCAACACAAATGAAAGTTAGTTCATTAAAATCCACTTCTGTCAGGAACATTGAATTTGCTGCCGACATCCTTACGTCGGATGTATAAGCTTTAGATCTGTGCTGTCCTCCTCTGCCTTTGTCTCTTTAGCAGAGTAGATCTTGCCGTACACCAGCGGGTCTCCCATAGCCTGGAAGATCGACACCTTGGTCCTCTGAGCTTGGCCTCCAACCTCACATTCAAATGTGTAATCATCTATAACTTCCTGTAAAGACAGATCAGTAGTGTTATTCCATCCACCAACAAGTAGTAGAGAAATAAACATTGTCATTTTACCAGAGCTTAATTTAAGTTTTCTTTGTCAGGCAAATATTTTGTACTCATATTTATTGTCTATTAGTTTTATTATGTCCTTCAGGTAGACTGTATAAGAGATATTGTACAGTCTTGTACAATTAGCCTTGTTTCTAACAGGGCCATTTAACATTTTAACAAGCACTAGCAGCTTTGTTTTTCTGACAGCACACAGCCAGCATTTGTTTCCATTTAAAGGGAGTGGTAAATTCAAGAGCCAAACTTACTTCAGGAGGCCAAATCACAGTAGTAGGCTGAGAGTCTTCCAACTGCAAAGATTTCTCAACCACGGCATATTTTTCCACCTAGAGATGATCCACAACAAAAAAATCAAGATGGCTTGGTGCACAATTTGAGCATAACATCAGCAATGTGTTTTTAATGAACCAATATTACTTACATCAATCTCCTTCGGTACAGTTAGCTGGCAGTTGTTTTGATTCCACGCATCAACACACTGTTAGTGTTAAATGTTGAGAGGTACAGATGGAGAGATATATATAGGAAAAAAAAGAAAAACATTGATTTATGGTAAAAAAGCCAAAACACAGAGGTCATATTAATTAATCACCCTGCTTTCGCCAGTTACTTTAGCAAACAACTAAGACCTTGAACCAAAATATAGACAGTCAGCAACAATGTCAACTACAGTTTTCAAAGCTCAGGCTCACAGATCATCCATTTATCCCCATTACAGCATTATGAGTTGAAGAGATTAGTAGTAAAATTATGTTTAGTATGATGGACCCTGACAGTAATATGGCTGAAATTTGGAAAAATAAATAATTCAGTCTTGTCCAAGCAGTGAAATCCCCACAGTTCAGTTTAAACCAAGTTCTGGAAACAAAATAAACTTGTGGTACAGACCAGAAAAAGGCTAAGGTTGCTTGCTATTCTTAGAAAAATAAAACAAAGTGCCTGAATAGGGTGATAGAGGGAGCACAGAGATGAAAGAAGATAATTAAAAGAGAACCAGATCTGCTATGACATGTTCAGATATTCCTTCTGAGGATTTCCGCTCTGATGCCTATTGTATTATGAAATGTTGAAAGCCTTTTGGAATGACTGATTTATAGGTATTAAAAACACTAATGACTAAATTTGGGCTGAAACAATCGGATTAATCATGATTGATTATTGAAATAGTTGTAAACTAATTTACAATAATCGAGACTCTTAAACAAACATTTAGCTGTAAGAGCAGTACTTAGAGCCGTAATTATATTGCAAGTGTAAAAAATATATATATAAAGATTTTGCATTGAGGATGAAAAAAGTTTTTGTCTATCAATATACTCTAACTAGTGGATCCTCAAGTGGAAAAGTTTTTGTTTCACTTGGTTTAAATTCTGTAAAAAAAATTCTTTAAGCAACATTTCGCTATCCAATTATTTATCAACAGATTAATTGACTATCTAGCAGGAACTGACTACTTACGTTTCCAATCTTTGAGATTTTCAGATCTTTGACAGGTGCAAATTTCCTTTCCTTCCTCTTCTGAAGATAGTCGTAGAGTCGTAGCTGCGGCGGCACAGGCAGATGGGACAGTTCCTGCTGCCTGTTCAAAGCAGCTCGAGAATGTCTCTTAAAACACCTACGATGCAAATAAACCAATATATATGTAATCAGATGTTTGAATTATTCCCCTTCGTTTTCCCTTTTAATATCCAGTGTTTCTGAATTTCCCCCTTGTATGACTAAAGTCAAGCTGTGCTCTTGCCAACACCGCTGAGTGTACTCAGTACCGTTTCATCGAACGAGTATTCATTTTCTGTTTGTTGTAGAGCAGACGGTTGGCTGTGCAAGTAACAGAAATAGATGGTTCCAGGCACAGAGGTTCAGCGGTGGCCAAAATCAACTGACTCTCCAGCTGCAGTTTATCATCCTATAGCAGGGAAGAAAAGAGAGAGAAAAGGCCAATAATTGACCTAAATTAAAATATTCCAATCCTTATACTAACAGCTAGTGTTTTTGATGTATATTAAGAAAAAAATAGTATTCTTTGCATAGAAACAAACTGAACTGCAAAACTATAACTATAAAAATGTTCCTTAAAGGTATTGTGGAGGATTTTAACAATTTTTTTAAAAGACCTGCCCTCTCCACTAAAAAAAAAAAAAAAAAAGCCCATGCCAAGCAAGCCCACAAGCCCATTTAAAGAGCGGGGACTATATAGTGGACTTTATAGCGAACTCAGTTAATTGATCGTTCGGACAGATAATCACGACTTTCTGCTCCCTTTTGGTCACGTAACTCCTCCTCTACTGCACGGTGCCTGCGTCGGGTAGTGACAGGCTATGGCGACAACGGGCCGCTGTGACAACATATCCCATAAAGCTTTGTGCGGAGAGCTCTCCGCGCAAAGCATTCTGGGATGTATCTGCCTCCTCTGAGGCCTTTTTTTCTTCTCATACGCTGTGTAGACACTTTTTCTCTTACTACCCTCGGGCATTTTCAAAGAACCACGGTGAGAAAGGTGATCCATAATGACTGTCTGAAACCCTACCTCACCACACACACACACACACACACACTTGAAAGTGCACATGCGCAGAAAAAGATAGTTAACGGGAAGAGCACGTATGATGGCCTTACGTGAACATATCACCAGCATGATTGACAATTAGAAGGACCACTTATTTTGATGATCCACTTGGGGAAAAAAAAAATCCTCCACTATACCTTTAACTGTAAAATGCAACTCAATGTTGATGTAAAAACCTTTTCATCAAAATAATAAACTAATTGACACACATTCTCAGTTAATTTACCAATATATACCAAGTGCAACTGATATTTGGAGACTTAAAAGGTAAAAATGAACACCACCCAGGAAAAATGCATTCTTGCCACACATAAGTCAGTTTATAAACCTAAAGGAGAAAGAGGAATAATAAAACTGATACATCTGCCTAAGAGAATAAAATAGCATTGGACAAAAAAGCGATAGAGATAATATCAGGATCTCGGTGCAAGATGTTGAAAAAATGCCAAAAAGCATGTCGCGCAATTTGCAACATTTCTGAGATATGCTTAGAGATAAAACAGAGCATTCAATCAGGATCTGAACACAAAAGGTACGCCATGTTAAAATTGGAGAATCTCAATTCTTCATTAAATAAAGAATATTATTGACAGCTATTAACATCCTCTTTAAAAGACTGATAAACAACATCACAGTCTTCAGTCAAAGGCTACAACAACTCGTCAAAACAAAACCCTGTATGAGGTTTGATTCCCCTTAAGGATCAATTAAGTGTTATTTTAATGTAATTGAATTTGCCTGAAAACAGATAACAGCAGTGATAGGGAACGTGTTAACCATCTCTAATAATTAAATCTGTGGCCAAAACCACAGCTCGCCTAAATAAATATAACACTGTCAACACTGGTGTCCAATGTAAAGAGAGATAATTGAAACAAAATCTGAGTCATATTTTGGAGAGAACTAGAGATATACCATACTAAAGATTTGAGTAAGAATATAAGTTCTAATAACAAGCAGTGGCTTAACAGACATGAAAATGGGTCAGGAGGATTAGACCCCTGTATGGCGGTAGGGCTGAACAATTTGGAAAAAACTGCTCTTTGATATTTCATAACACTGATCACAAGTATTGAAGATGTTTCACTACAGGATTTCATGTTTACAAGGAAACATTTAAATCATATTTGACAAAGTAGAAATAGAACTATGATGGAGAACTAGTCGAGGAATGTCTATTTGCCTTTTCATCTAGATCTACAACTTATACTGCACTGTAAAAATAATTAAATATTTATGTGCTATAGGCATCCCTACATCAAGGTAAGATATGCATCATCGCTTGGGGCCTGTAAGAAAAAGAAAATCTAAAAAAATTAAGCAAAAGTAGTTTTGATACTTAGCAGGTGGTGCGCTTCTTTAAAATATAGTTTTAATAATTTTTTAAAAAGCTGAGAGCAAAGAGCCAGTCGAGTGCTCTGCTGATGTTAATGGGCCTTCAGACGGCATATGATCCATACACAGCTGTGCTTGGAAACCCATTAATCTTAATGGCTTGTGCCAAGTGCAGTATATGGTGGTACAAAAAATACAACACATTACAACAAGCAGCACTAGTACTGCTCACTAGTCTGTCTGAGTTGTGCTGTGCAATGCACACGTGTGTAATTAGGTTATAGCAAAACTGTTTCGGGGATAACCTTGGGAGAGTAATCACTGATGGACCATAATACCAAACAGAGCTTGGTAATATTCAGTACAGGGTTTTTTTCTTGGTACTGCAAATGCAAGTCACTATTTGAGAAAAGCTTTTCAAATTGTGGAAACATAAAACAAATTCCTATTTCACAGTTGTTGCCTGATCGTGCAACTGTGTGGATACATTCTATATCCTCAACACCAAGGATACTAGAGAATGAGATGACATTAATAATAGAAGACCAACATTTTTTAATGCTTTCATTGAACATGATAATTTACCTGCGTCCACTTGTGGTGTTCACTGGTCATGGCATGTACGTCACAGATTAGCGTCTGCAGAGAGCAAAAACAGAAATACGGGACAAAGAGCCAGGGTGTTTTTAGTTGATAGTTACCAATAAGGAAAAAGTCTACCACTACCATAAAATGTCAGTCAGTTAACTACCTGCATGGTTGGTCGTAGAAGAACATGTCTGCTCTGATAGGTGGGAATCTTTGTATTACCAGCTTGTCTGTAGTCTCTCACCTCTACTATTACACAGCCACAGTGGAAGATGTTTACCTGCAATAAAACACACATATCAGGGGTTAACAATCAGCATTTTAAAGTAAGACAGTAATGGAAATTTAATTTTCTGAAAAAATTCTGTGAAGTGCTGTTTTTCTGCACATGCTTCATATTGAAAAAATGATCAGATGCTGAATATACCTGTGATTTTTCCAACAGATCCACCAGAATGGGAGGCAACTCCTCAGCATCCAAGTACTCCAGAAGCTCCCTTTCTTCATATGGCAGACGGATGGTTTCAGAATCTAAGCGGCAGTATAAATTGAAAAGATTAGAAACCATACATTATATAAGTGGGGGGAAAATAAAGTCAACGGAGTATTTTTAACTAGTTTTACCGGATCCATTTTTGCCCCTGAGCATTAACGAATAGCCTTCATTCCCAGGGTACAGGTTGACCACCAGACATGACACAGACTCCTGAGACACAAGCTTTTCTAGTAAATTCACATTTCTTCTCAGATTCTGCAAAAAGAGATGGCAAAAGGCTTACTAAGTCGATATTTGAACAATTTCTTGGGAGTACTGTTCAACTTAAAATGCTGTGTATTCCTTTATCTTAGAAAATTAGGTAAATGTGTGTTTGCAACTGCAGCTCTAAACATGTGAGATAATAGAAAAAAATTTGATTTTACAAAGTTGCTAAAATGTATCATGCTTACACTTTTTTATTGTGAGTAACGGGAATTGATATAAATCCAAAAATAAAATCAGCATTGACACAGCACTACATTTTCCTAAATCCAATTACTTGAAGAGAAATGCAATCCTATATAGATAATCCTTGCAATAACTCATCTAACTCAACGTATCTGTATAAAACCTATTTTAAAAAGGCTAAAGAAAACTTTCCCAAATGTATTTTTGACACAATTTATAAAAGTTATTTCTTTGTTTAGGTTTATTGGTACCAAGTGATGAGGCAATTTAAACTCTGATATTTACTGCAATTTATTTAAAATAATTAATTTAAATTCAATGAAGTTTGTTTATATAGCATCAATTCACAACACATGTCATCTAAAGGCCATTTACAGAGACAAATCAATCAGATTAGTTACAAGTCCTCCATCTAAGGAAACAATGTTGATTACATTAAGTCATTGACTTTGCGGAATAGGCTCCCCTTGATGAGCATGAGGTGACAAAAGATATAAGCTTTTATTGTGCTGTTGACTCTACTGAAATCCTTCAGGGTATGGGGGAGAACAGCATTAGCAAAAAAAAAATATCCTTTTCACATGTTTGATGAAATTGTAATAAACAACATTTAAAAATGCATGTTTTACTTTGGCAACGAATCTAGCAATGAAATCAATTGTTCAACAAATCGTACATCCTGCTTGAAACCACAAACAATCTTTGACAAAGTTCATGAGTGCCACTGGACTGATAATCATCTCACAATAACCTTATTCAGTGACATTTAAAAAAAAACAGTAAAGGATGCACCAATAAAGGAAACTTACTGCAAGTTTTTTGGAGTTTGCAGAAATAGTCAGAGTTAACAATACCAAATTTTTATGTAAAATATGTTGGGGTTTTTAATTAATATTTTATTAAAATATTATCAGTTCATGAGTTATTGAGTTTTTATGAGCTGGAAACCAGACATTTAGAGACAGATTTAAAAATTAGTTGATTGATTTAAGTAAATAAGGATATAAATCTTATTCCAATGGCTGCACTTTAAAAATTAAATAGTCTAGAGAGTTGTACTTAACAAATTTTCTTTTTGTTTACACTTGTGTGTACAAAATGACAAAATAAAATCTAAGTCTAAGTCTGCTTCTGTTGTTAAACTACAACATTTAACTCATGAATAAAGCAGTTCAACACAAACCTTTAACTCTGGTTCTTTTTCACATTCTTCAATATAAAGCTCATGAAGCTTCTGGTACAAACTCTTTCTGCCGCCGGATGAGATTCTTCTTTTAGTTGGTCGTTGTCGAGCACTTTCGACAATGTACTGAAAGAAAAAAAAAAAGCATAAAACAATAAAAAAAATACATTTCTCCTTATTGTACAAAAATATAAACATGCATGGCTGATATAATATTTTACCTCGGCTCGATCCAATGCATATTCCAAAACTTGTTGCTTTGAGATTGAGAAACAAAACAAGGCAGTAGAAGTACAAGATTTCATTAGATTAAATATTGTACTGTGATAAACAGCTATAAGATAAATAAAGCACATATGTGTGAATGCAGTGAACTGGTATTAATTCTGTTTACCATTATGGTCCACTGCCAGCTGCAAGGCCAGTGACAGTTTAAGATGCTGTCCTTTCTGCCCCACACTGTCACCTTCCTTAAGTGACCATTCACACCCTGCTCAGCAAATAAAAAAAAGTCAGATACATTGCAAGCAGTCAGGTAAAATAAAGTCTGCTGAAAAGTTATTACATAGATCTATGGAATAAGTGGGGCTGTAAAGTCGTCCCCACTATCCTGACGTCAACAGTGTGGCTGGTAATCAATCAGATGCAACACACCAAAACAGCAACGTTTAATGACGGACTAAACTGTTATCCAAGTTGCTCCTTCCGCTATGTATTGTTAAAACTACACAATAATGTTAATACACACCTACAAAAGGCTGTGAGTGACTAAAATGCATGTGGTAAATGCAACTCCAGTGACACTCAGTGAGGTCCAGAAAGAGTGCCTGAATAGCAATAGGCTCGGTGATGCCTGACCGTTGAGGCTAGCGCGGCTAACGCTAGCACAGGCTGGAAGTTAAATGCTACACTACATCGTCTGGGACGGAACAAAGCCGAGACAGACCGGTGTCAGTCAGCGGGGCGCACTTGCCTTCGAGGTTGCATAGCGGTCGAGAGTAGCCCCCAGAGCAGAGAAACAAAATGAAATTGAAATATCAGTGTCTTCATTGAAAAAAAGTCGGGGCAGCAGCCATTTTCTTCCAGTGTGACAACAACAGCTAAACTTCCGGTCTGAGCAGCGGTGGGAGGAGCATCACCTACGATCAAAATCAATACCTCATCAAAAGTACCCGAGTTATTAACGAAGCTTCGTCAATATTTACCCAGTTAAAAAAAAATTACGAAAGATTTATTAATCTTTTTTTTTTACACATTCACTCAGGTTGACAGCATGTTTTATGTACTTTACTACTACTAAGTATTACTATACTAAGAATCTTTACTTTCATTATGATATCATCAAATCATTTTTGCAGAGGTGTACATAATATGCAACACCATAACATTTAAAAAACTATCTATCTATCTATCTATCTATCTATCTATCATCTATCTATCTATCTATCTATCTATCTATCTATC